AAAAATGCAGCTTTAGACCAGGAGTAGCCAAAATATTAATTCACTTGATCAACTATGTGAAACATTAGAAAACAACAATTAGGACACAGCTTTACGCTTCTGGTTTTATTCAATATTTACTGCTGATTATAACCTATCCATTAATCTAAAAATAGTTTAAACATTTGTTTAACTAAAATCTATTTTAAAATCAATTCTCACCATTACCAACTGTTCAGTAAAAACAAAAAGACTCAAATTCACAACTAGGTCTTGTCTAAAGAGGAATAAAGATTTAGAGACAATGGCAGAAAAGCTTAAAACTATGAACTGTTTTTTGCAATCATCCACTGAATAGGTACAAACATCTGAATAGATTTTGCCATTCTGCAAGGTCTACCTAGGATATAAATTTCTGTATTCCTAATGCTGAGGGAATGCAATCTCTTCTAACACAATCTCCTTCTGTTGTACTTCTCCGGAAAACCAATATTTCTGTAAACACAGATCAATCTCTCTTAGGAATAATTACTGCCAAATAGAGTATTCTATGTAGTCAGTTTCCTCAAGAAATATTAACAATAAGATCAAATCAAATTTGCCTGCCCCAAACTATTATACTAAGTATCTTAAAATAGGAGGGGGAAAAGTAGGAAAGGCTATTACAGAAAGCTTTTGTTAACAACAGATAAGAATAATTGGATCCAAAGAACACACTGTTGTTATAACATATATTCTTGGCCTTTCCCTCCCTCTTCTAACCTCCACACACATCCACTTGGGTTTAAAATTGGCACTATTTCCTTTTAAGCCCTACTAGATATTAATGGTTACTCAACAAAATAAATCACGTTTCAACATTGAGTGTTTCATCTTTCTTTCCTCATTAGTAGGTATATAATAGAACACATATTTTTCATATTTTCTGTATCTTCCTAAACTTATTTTTCACCCAAAGCAAAACAATTATTTATGGCCCTAAATTCCCCTCTTTGTTAAGAATTATTGGCAATTAATTTGTGCTCCTTCAAGTCATGCAATTTTTCCGAAGTAAGGATCATTCTTTTTATACTTTAGGCCTTCCTAATTCTTGAATAGGCTATGAATTGTTTGAAAACTGAAATCTTATTCCTAAAACACAAAAGTGTAGAAACAGAATTTTAGGGACTTAAAGGTTCATGGGAATTGACTTGGCCAAATACATTTCTTTGTAACAAAACTTGAGAAACCATTCACTCTTATGCCCCAAAATATTTTACTTTGTATTAATTATTAACAATAATTATAAGCACCTATATTCCCGAAAGATACAATTCTTTAAAATTTTGTAACATATAGCATATAGCCTGAATGCAAAATTTATCCATTTATTTAGTAAACACCTTTAATTATCAAAACAGTGTTTCTAGGTTTTTAAGGTGCAATGGTGAATAACTAAGGCAGCCTTTCAACTCAAAACCCAGTGGAGAAACTCTAACCAATAGCCTATTAAATTCTGTAGAGGTGATGCACAAGGTAAAATGGAGTGAAGAATGAGATCAGAAGTTGAATCAAGCAGTAAAAAAAAGTGGACACGATAAAAATATAGCCATAATTCCACACAGGAACCAGATGTGCTTTTATTAGGGGGAAAACCTAACAAAACCTATATGCAGGTGGTTTTGTCACCATTAAACTGACAAAAACAGTACGAAGCTCCAGAAGAATACGCACCAAAACTGCAAGGTAATTTAAATAGCCCTCTAAATGTAAAACAGAACTTCCTTACAAGAGTTAAAAAAAAAAAAAAACAACACAATAAACCTTAGCTGTGATTTTGCTTGTCTACAATCATTTCCCTCTTTCATACAGCACAAATCTAGAGATTCAGTACGAAGAAAGGACCATCTATATTTTTGAATAACAAATTTAAGATATTATCAGGTTTACTGAACAAAACTTTTTTTTGAGTTTCAATGCTAACCAGCTAAAATAAATCTGTAATTCATATCTCACAGGATTCTTTCTCTATCCCACCCTTACCATCCTTCCAAAGCAAATCCATGATTCAGAGTGGTTTTGATGTTTTTCTTATTATTCTTCAGTTTTGTTTAGTCTTTTTTTTCCTTGTCCATCATCTCATTTTTCCTCTAAATTTTCATTAACTGTTGCCTTACACATCAAGCAAACTGATTCCTATTTTTGATCATGTCACTTTTTAAGGTATCATTTAATTACCATTTCAGTTAAAGTTGAATAATACAGTATCTGCGATTTGCTTCAAGGTAATAGAGGTGGGGAGAGTAAGTGAAAGTATGGAGAAAACATGTTTTGCTGTGAGTTGAAGCTCTATGATAGAAACATCATACGTTATACTATTCTTTTTTTCTTGCATGTTTGAAATGTATCTTTAAAGAGTTTAAAAGATTATATGAAGATAACTATCTGTTGATCATCAGATGTCAAAACATGTCTGACTGATGGAAAAAATATATAGCATATAGGAGGCACCATAAAGGCTAGGACAAGTTAAGCATTTAAAATACAAAAAAAGAAAAGAAAAAGAAAAGGTTATAGCTGATTTTAACATAGTAAATACAGAGAAACCCCATGAATCCACAGCTATCCTCAATCTTTTAAAAGGAGGGGAAAAGAAAAAAGGAATTTCATCTTTGAGGAAAAAATATGAGCCAGTAAGTAGAGACAGAATAGGATTTTTTTAAAAACCACCATTTGCCACTTTCAAGGAAACAACTGATTTATTTAAAGATTATCAATTGATGATAAATAACTAGATAAAAGGTTATTGAGGAACACAGTTATCAACCCACAGATTACTAACTGCAAAGGGGAAAATAATCCTTTACAATGAAGAGATCCAGCAGTCATTACCCTAACCCTGACCAAGTGAGCAAACTTAACCTTTACTAACACTGGAACAACCTAGCATGAAGTGCCTTTTGATGTGATGTTATAAAGTATTCTACACAAAAATATTTAACCTGAATACTATCAAAGCTCTGAGTTTAGACATAACCATAATTTTCAGGAAATACAGAAGATGAGGAGACAAGTTAAATGACACCACACAAACACAAATCAAATAAGCCCAGACATAAAATGAGAAGTTCTGCAAGAGAACTTTTCTGGATTCTTCAAATAGACAATAAATATCCTAGGGGAGAAAAAACAGAGGAACGATTCAAGAGACATAACTAAATGATGCAAATAACCTAGATTAGATTCTGATTTTTTTTTAATTTAATTTTATTTTTTTACATAGCAGGTTCTTATTAGTTATCCATCTTATACATATTGGTGTAGATTCTTATTTTTAAAATAATAAAACCCTATGAATCACATTCTTAGGACTTATTTTTAGTAATGATACGGTATTGCTATTAATTTTCTTAGGTGGGAAATGGTATAATGGTTATATAACAGCATTAATGCCTTATACTGTATAAGAGAATGCTGAAATAAGGGGGGCTGAATATGTCACTTACTTTCAAATAAATATATACAAGGAGATAAAGCAAATATGGCAAAACACTCAACAAGTGTCGATTCTAGGTGAAGAACTGTACTGCAGTTGTTCACTGCACTTTTCCTTGTCCTAAACTTTACACATAACACTTTTGGGTGAAATTTTTTTCTTTAAATTTTTACCACCTTCTCTCCCACTTAAAACACCACAGTTCTGAAATGAAAGGTCATGGCAACATTTCAGTGTGTTTACAATTTTAGATAAATTTAAAAATTAACGATGAATTCGGGAAGCTTTCAATGAACACCTCAGTACATTACTCCTCCTCTACTTTCAGGTGACAAAACATGAGCCCAGAAAAAGGGTAGGTATACAAAATCAGACTTGACATAACGATTTTAAGACTTGGCATTCTTGGGCATTCTAACAGCATGTAAAATGTAAATACTGTGAAAATTTCAGGACTGAAATCAGTCGACGAGCAAACACAAAATTCAGTTTAGCCAAACTTTCCCGACATAATAAAATTTACAGTCACCCTATTCAATAGGAACACGCCAATTCTGCCTCATCTCTGTCAACCTCCAAGAATAAGCCCCCACGTTAAAAGATGGGGACTTCAAAAACGAAAACCTAAGTGTATTTCGTTGCTATGGCAATGGGAAATTTCAGGAAATTGAGACTGCAGTCTAGCTAGCCTCCATTTTAAAAACTATTTACCTAAACATACCGGACTTGAATCGAAAAATAAATTGACAGCTTCCATAAAACACCAGTTTCCTCTTTCAAACTCAAAGGTAAATACTATCCTACAAAATTCTGAATAAAGAGCAAAAGAAATCATTTAATTAAGAATCTGAATTTTAAAATACTTAGATATCACATATCCAGTACTAAAAAACAGATGCTTTTACTTACAGTGGCCCAAACATACTTCTCATTTCCGATTTATCAAATTCTACAATTACTTGTTTCGTTGAAAAAATGAAATGCTGATAGAAGAAAGGGAAGGAGCAGGAGAAAGCCACAAAATTCCCAAATCTTAGCATAACGATGCTCTTACTCCTAATCTGCTTCCTTCTTCATTCGCTCATGCAAGAGTCTATTTCTCCAGATTAGTTTCATCTTAAATTACTTCTCAAACCTTTTTCTGGGTACAGTATATATCGGAAAGGCGGTGGAGGGAACACTGTCAAGTTTTTCGAAAACAGCGGGTACACGTTAAAATAATCAATTCCTAACCCCTTAACACCAAAATGGTATTAAAGGAAAGACTCTCACCGGAGAAGTCCCATGAATCTAAATAGGACGAAGTAGCTTCCTGGCTATTGTCTAAATCAAATATTTGTTCATCTTAACGCCTAAGACAGAGAAGCCAAAAAAGTTTTAAATCTCAGTCAGATCTTGCTCCCCATTCCCACCGTACTTCTGAACCCCGTCTTTCGGGTTCATTAGACCCTTGATTCCTCCTCAGCGAACATGGCTGGAGAACTCGGACGAACAGAGACGGAGAGAGAAGAGGTCGCCACGAGGCCCCACCACTCTCCTTCCTCACCTGCTCCGTGGCTCCGTCTCCTGACATGGCCTCAGACGACTAGAACGTGCGAACTGGCCCGCGATGCCAAGCTACAAAAGAAAAATTAAACTAAAAACCACCCCCAAACAACTAAAATTGCCCCCTGCCCTGCGGAGCCAGACCGCCAACAAGAACCGCCACCGCCCACTCAGATATGAATTAAAATGGCTGCGCCCGGGCCGGCCAAGGAGGGGTGTGTGGCTTCTGCATTAACTTCCGGGGCAGAGGGCGGAGTTAAGAGAGCAAAATCATCGATTACTCAACCGCGCAGAAGCAGAAAGATCCCAGGGGGCGGGCCCAATGCAAGCGCGGGACGTCACGGCCTTGGAGTAGAGAGGCTGTTGCTGAGCGAGCTGCAACCGGCTGGGAGGCGGGAAACTGTTTTCCACGGAGGCTCGCGCGCCTTTTGGAATTTAATTATCAAGCTGTGGAGCGCGCCTCTTCACTGTTGAAGTCTGCAAATCGGTTCAGTTCAGGCAAGCTGGCCATCTTATTGAGCAATTCTAAGTGTTAAATGCTTCCTATATTTTGGAGATAAGGAATCTATGAAGTTTTCTATGGTCTCAGCTAATGCTCTTCACGCTTTTGCGGGACAGATCAAGCCCATGTTAATTTATACCGTCACCGTTTACTCATGTGTCTAAGGTTTGAAGTAAGGCCCAGGTTTTAAGCTCAGCATACCACCATGGTTCTTGATAATAGCGCTTCGGCTCTGGAGCCAGCCTGCATTCATTTGAAACCTGGCGTCATCTCTCGCTACATGGGTAACCGTGGGCAATTAAACATCTCTGTGCCTCAGTTTCCTTGCCTGTAATTACGAGTAATAATAATACCTGCTTTTTTTTTTTTTTTTTGCGGTACGCGGGCCTCTCACTGTTGTGGCCTCTCCCGTTGCGGAGCACAGGCTCTGGACGCGCAGGCTCAGCGGCCATGGCTCACGGGCCCAGCCGCTCCGCGGCATGTGGGATCTTCCCGGACCAGGGCACGAACACGTGTCCCCTGCATCGGCAGGCGGACTCTCAACCACTCCGCCACCAGGGAAGCCCAATACCTGCTTTTTTCTTACCGCTTCACGGGGCTTGCAGGATCTGAGTTCCCCCATCAGGGATGAAACCTGCGCTCTCAGCAGTCTAAGTGTGGAGTCCTAACCACGGGACCGCCAGGGAATTCCCAGTACCTGCAATTTAAATAAGTTATACATGTAAAAGTGCTTGGAACTGTACTTGGCATAGTCCAAGATTAAGTGAGAGCAGGTCTTCTCAAACTCTTTTACCTTCAAGCATCATCATAAGGCTTATAACACCCTATCGTCTACAGTGGCCAATGGTCCAAAGTAAACTATTCAGCCTTTCCCATACACTCCTTATTCTTTTCAGTCTCCCATGCCTCTGCTCATATTTCCGCCTCTGCCCTTTCCACAGCCTGAATTCTTTTTTTTGTTGTTTAACATCTTTATTGGAGTATAATTGCTTTACAATGGTGTGTTAGTTTCTGCTGTATAACAAAGTGAATCAGCTATACATAAACATATATCCCCCGTATCTCCTCCCTCTTGTGTGTCCTTCCCACCCTCCCTATCCCACCCCTCTAGGTGGTCACAAAGCACTGAGCTTATCTGCCTGTGCTGTGTGGCTCCTTCCCACTAGCTATCTGTTTTACATTTTACAGCCTGAATTCTTACACTTCCAAGAAATCAGACACATGAGCAAAGGGTGTATATTACAGATGTTTATTGCACCATCCAACAATAGAGGACTAGTTAAACACTGTAATCCCTCCCTCTCTCTTATCCTCTGTAGCTCCCTTATCCTATGTTCCAAGACCCCCAGTGGATGCCTGAAACAGGGGATAGTACCAAACCCTATATATACTATTTTTTCCTGTACATACCTATGTTATCATAGTTTAATTTATAAATTATGAACAATAGAAGATTAACAACAATAATAAAATAGAACAATTATAACAACAAACTGGTAAAAGTTACGTGAATTGTGCTCATTTGTGCACGTGCGCTTTATCTCTCGCAGAATATCTAATTGTACAAAGTTAATGCCTTTTCCACCTTAACTAAGCAGTTACCACGTACTGTGGCCATAACCTTTGTAATTTGAGGTGCAACAGCAAAAGTAGCATGAATTTATTTTTCCTTCTTCACCATTTCACAGGTACAGGATTTGTTCTTCCATGGACCTTAGCAACCTCAGAACATGATTTTTTTCCTTTCCTTAATAAAGCAAGAACTTTCACATTTTTACTTAAAGAAAGCACTTTACAGTTTCTCTTTGGCCTATCCAAATTGCCAGCCTCACTACTGTGGCATTTTGGGGCCATTACTAAGTAAAATAAGGGTTAACTTAACACAAGCACTGAGATACCTCCATAGTCAAGCTGATAACCAAGACGGCTAAGTGGCACCAGATTTCATCACACTACTCAGAACGATACACAGCTTAAAATTTAAGAATTGTTTATTTCTGGAATTTTCCATTTAATATTTTCAGACCAAGATTGATCGCAGGTAACTGAAACTGTGGATGGTGGGGAGCCGGGGGGCGGAGGTGGTGGTGGAGGGCAGCAGAGACTACTTTACATCATAAGACATCTCTACAGTGGAATGTCATGTAGCTAGTAAACTGATGCTAATGTACAGTTACTGACAGAAAGACATACATGATGTTGTAAAGTGAAGAAACAGAATACAAAAATAGTGTACATTACATAGGATGTACAGTGTATGTATATATATATATATATGTAAATATACACAGTCAATCCTCCATATCCGTGGGTCCTGCATCCTCAGAGTCAACTAACCATCGATTGAAAAAAAATTTTTTTTTAAATACAGAAAGTTCCAAAGAGCAAAAATTGAATTTGCTGCTGCTCCCAACCATTTACATAGGATTTACATTGTATTTGCAATGACTTACACAGCATTTACATTGTATTAGGTATTATAAGTAATCTAGAAGGGATTTAAAAGATGGTCATAAGTTAAATGCAAATACTACAACATTTTATACATGTAAAGCACTTTGAGCATCCACAGATTTTGGTATCTGTGGGGGGCAGGAAGGTGAGTCCTGGAACCAATCCATTGGGGATACCCATGGATGACTGTGTGTGTATATATATATATATAGTGCCTCAAAACATTAAAAGTAGTTATCTCTGTGTCACATAATTTTTTTCTTTTTATCTGTTTTCTAAGTTTGTCTTAAATGAACTAGTGTAAGAACATGTCTTTAAGAATAGTATTCACATTCTAGGGCTTCCCTGGTGGCGCGGTGGTTGAGAATACGCCTGCCAATGCAGGCTACACAGGTTCGTGCCCCGGTCCGCGAAGATCCCACATGCCGCGGAGCGGCTAGGCCTGTGAGCCATGGCCACTGAACCTGCGCGTCCGGGGCCTGTGCTCTGCAGTGGGAGAGGCCACAACGGTGAGAGGCCCGCGTACCGCAAAAAAAAAAAGAATAGTATTCACATTCTGTTCTTCAAAGTTTGACTCAAATGACAATATCTTTTCCCAATATTTTTAATGAAAAACTTTAAAGAGATAAAAGTTCAAAGAACAGTACAATGAATACCTGTATACCCATCATCTTGATCCAATGGCTAACATTTTGGCATGTTAGCTTTATATGTATGTATTTACATATATAGTTTGGTTTTTTGCAAAATAATTTTCAAGTAAATCACAGACATCGTGACACTTCATCCCAAAATAAATCAGCTTGTGTTTTCTGAGAATATCTCAGAAATTTCCTTTATATCTGCAATACATATCACACGTAAGAAAATTAACAATTATTTCCTTGTATAATTTACTATTCAGTCCATATTCAAATTTTCCCAAGTAGTCCAAAAATGTCTTTATAGGAGGTTTTTACAAATCAGGATCCAATCAAATTTCAAGCATTGCATTTAGTTGTTATATCTCTAGTTATTGCCCATCTTTTTATTTTTTATGAATTTTTTAAGAGAGTTTGCCGGTTGTCCCTAGGAATAGTCCATATTCTGGATATATCTGATTGTTTTCTTGTAGTATCATTTAACATGTTCCTCTTTCCCATGTTTCCTATAAACTAAAATGTATGCTAAAAGAGTGATTAGATTCGGGTTACACATTTTGGCAAGAATATGTCATAATATAGATATGTTTTTCGTTTTGTATTACACCAGGAGATACATCAAATTACTAGTTTGATTTTAAGTTTGATCACTTGGTTAAGGTGGTGACTATTACATCTCTTTTTTAGGTATATTTCATCCTTAGTAGTTAAGTAGTTGCAGAGTAAGGCTTTGGTACCATGCCAATTTCCTGTTCCCCAACAAATTTTCACCATGGTTTGGTCATTTACCGATAAATCTTTCCTGAACTAATAATGAAATATCTGGTGATTAAATAATTCTCTAATTCCTACATAAATAGAAATTTCTTCTGTGAAAAAGAACTCTTCCCCATTAACCTTAAAAAAACAGGATAAATGCTTACTTTTTTCCCTATAATGACCAATTTTCAAAGTAAAGAGTTTGATTTAATATCTACTTCAAGTAGTGGAAAATGATATATATATTTTTTGGCCTATTCGCTTTTTAAGTATCATGTGGATTCACGAGTTTTTTAAGATTTAAGTTGTTTCGGTCGATTGCAATCATTATTCTTTTTCAGCCAGTACAGGTCCCTTCCCTGGATGAATGGATACTATGTCTTTTTGACATGGTAACAATAGTCTTGGACAACTTCCTGGCCTACTGGCACAAGATGTCCCAGGATCACTTACGAACCTTCCCTATAACAGACTTGGACTGTCATTGCTCCAAGGTTACTCTGGTTCCTTCAATTTGGGAATAGAAATTAGGACTAAGATGCCGGCAATAGATGTTCTCTCTGCTACTGGGTGTCATTGCTTCTAGGCCTTTTCAGTGTTCCGCTATAGGAAATGTATTTTTCTAATTATGAGTTCATACATGGATTTCCCAATTCAAATTTAACATGACTGGTTTTTTTCTTTATTGATTTTACATTTGTCTCTCTTTTCTCTTACATTGAAAATCTTGGTTCCTACAAAATATATTTAAAGCTTCTAAATTAAAAATACCAGTACTAAAATATCAAAAACAATACATTTGCTGAGTGAGGTTTAAGATTTCTTTAAAGTTCTTTTT